AAAAGGAAAAAAACCAGAAAAAGAGTGTAGTTTGTTTTGTTTAGTTTAGTATTTTAGTTTTCTTTATAGATACAATTACATTATTTTTGACTTATTTCTAAAGATAGAAATATATCTGCTGTGAACATCTTCCAGACTGACCAAGGAAAACTAGAGAAGCATATGAATCTCTCCCTCCCCCACCACACACACTTCGATATATGCGTTCTCAGTTGTGTACCTGTTGTGGGTATTACTCTGCTCTCCATTGCTGGCAAAATCCTGGCAAGAATATTCTTGAACAGACTAATACCCGCTATAGCAGAAGGAATTCTACCTGAAAGTCAGTGCGGTTTCAGAGCTAACAGGAGTACCACAGACATGGTATTTGTTCTCAGACAACTGCAAGAGAAGTGTAGGGAACAGAACAAAGGTCTCTATGTAACCTTTGTTGACCTCACCAAGGCTTTCGATACTGTGAGCAGAAAAGGTCTATGGCAGATTTTGGAATGTTTAGTTTGTCCCCTCAAGTTCCTTATAATGATCATCTCACTCCACGAGGATCAGCACGGCCAGGTCAGATATGGCAATGCACTTTCTGAGCCCTTTCTAATAAAGAATGGTGTGAAACAAGGCTGCGTTCTCGCTCCTACCCTATTCACAGTCTTTTTCAGCATGATGCTCCAAAGGGCCACTGCAGACCTCAATGATCAGGACGGTATCTACATTCAATACCGTACTGGTGGAAACCTTTTCAGCCTACGGGAACTGAAGGCCCACACCAAGACCTTAAATCATCTTGTCCGGGAGCTGCTTTATGCTGATGACGCCGCCCTTGTTGCCCACACAGAAGCAGCTCTGCAGCGTTTAACATCCTGCTTTGCAGATGCTGCTGAACTCTTTGGGCTGGAAGTCAGCTTAAAGAAGACAGAAGTTCTCTATCAACCTGCACCTCAGGAAGTCTTCCATCATCCCCACATCACCATTGGCCAATCAGAGCTCAAATCAGTCCAGCAGTTTAATTACCTAGGTAGCCTCATCTCCTCGGATGTTAAGATTGATGGGGAGATAGACAACAGGTTAGCAAAGGCATATAATGCCTTTGGAAAACTCCATAAAAGAGTATGGTGTAATAAACACTTGAAGAAAAGCACCAAGATCAGTATTTACAAAACTGTAGTGCTGTCTACTCTCTTATTGGTTCCGAATCATGGGTCATCTACCACCACCAACTGGGTCTCCTAGAACGCTTCCATCAACGCTGCCTCCATACAGTCCTAAACATCCACTAGATTATGTGACCAATACATCTGTTCTAGAACAAGCAGCAGTCAGAAGTATTGAGGCCATGTTGCTGAGGACACAGCTGCGTTGGGCAGGACATGTCTCCAGGATGAAGGACCACCGCCTCCCTAAGATTGTACTTTATGGTGAACTTGCCACCGGCTGCCACATGAGAGGAGCCCTGAAGAGGGGATACAAGGACTCCCTGAAACAACATCTCAGCCTTGGCCATATTGATCAACATAACTGATCTACTCTAGCCTCCAATCAGGAGGTCTGGAGCCACACCATCTATAACGCTGCTGATGCCTTTGAGAAAGCACGCAGAATCACCCTTGAGGAGAAAAGGCAATGCAGAAAGAATTGTGTCTTGCAGAATATACCACCTAAGGAATCTTTCTACTGTACCTTTTGCAGTCGGACATGTCTATCTCGTATTGGCTTCATTAACCACCAGCGTGCTTGTAACAAATGTGGATAGAGCCTTTCCCAAGTCTTCGTTTGCGAAGCCTAGCCACGATAACCTGTTGTGGGAATGGTGTCTGTTCAAGACTTGGAACATCTCAGAGGTTCTTGGGTCATTGAGGATAGGTGCCTAAATGGCTTGAAACTGCTTTTTTTGTTCTGATCATTGTAGTTATTTCAAGTCAGTTAGCGAGAAAGGGGAAATAGCAAGGGCAGTCAGAGTCTCTGTGTACAGGAAAGAAAATAGCCTCCATCTATCTCTACACCTGCTGGTACTGACAGATCTGAAGGAGTATGGTTGATGATGCTGTTGTGTGCAGTACTTAAGCATCCTGGGAATTTCCTGTTTTGTACATGTTTCTCAAAATCTAACAAACAGTAGAAGAAGAAAATAGTCTGTCTTTATTTTTTTCTTATGCTATTCTCGCTTTTTGGAATGGCCTCAGATTGAAGGCAGAGTCATCAAACTGCAAATGGAAATACATATTGATAGATAAACTGTCAGTATTGACACACCTTAGCCAAGAGGAAGCCTGAAGCAAAAGTTTTCCTTTCTTTACATTTTTCTCTTTGTGCACATGCATTTTTCGGAGAACAGAATTTTTCATGCAGACTGTGAAATTTAAAATATATCATCTAATTATTCAGAGCTATTGTAAATTCAGCTATGCTGCTGCAATCACTGCTGGAGGGTTCTTGTGGAAATTACCATCTGATTTCTGAGCTCTTCAGTGAGCTTGTGTTCTTCTTGAAGACCTAGGGACTGAGTTGTGATTATGTTACTTTTCTGCAGAGCAGTGCAGAGCAGAGTTTAAAATATGCCGTTAAGTTAAGTTGGGAAACCTGTAGTATCCTCAGAGATTTGAGTCTGGGAGTTTATCCTTAAGAATTTGCATGTAGACTGTAGTGTTAACCCTTATTCATAAAATAACATTATTTAATTCTGAAAAGAGGTTAAGTGCTGGTTTAGGGGATTATCGGTCTATTAGTAGAAAAGGCAAACCTAGCTTTTTGTTTGAGCCTAGGCACCAGTGCAGAAAAAAATAATATTTGGTTTAGACACCCTGCCTGTAGTGGGAAAGACCCATATCAATACTGGAATAGACAGCAAGATTCCTAAACCCAACATATTTCTACTCTGCATATGTTGTTACTGCATACCCAAAAGATGCACTATGTGTATGGTCCTCACCAATGATGGTAACGTGCTGCTTTTGCCACATACTCTGATATGCCAGCCAGCAAAGATCTGTGTAGTACATAGGGAGACATCATCAGTGTGTCATGTCCACATCCTGGACATTGCATTCTGGAATTTGTTTCATTTGGATAGCTTTATTGTGGTGAATGTACAAGGCCAAGCAGTCTGTAACCAGGAAGTTACAGACAAAGAGTGGATTGCTTTGAAACAATGTTGAGATTGTTAAAGTATAGCACTGAAAAGTTAGGTTATGCCAGGATAAATAACTGCCATCACTTAACTTCTGGGATTTTTTTGATACATGTTGTATAATTGAATCCTTGATATTCATTGACAGGCTATTTTATCTACATGGTTAAAGCTCCCTTTTATTGCTTTCTGTGAATGGTTCCCAGGGATGTACACCATAGTTTATGGAATTGTAAATGGCAGGATACCTGCTGTCAATTGTAAATTTAAGAAAACCACAAGGAACCCAGGGAAGTGAAGGGAAGAAGGGAATTGCAGAGGTATACCTCTGCTGTTGTGGTCATGAATGACAAGTTTTCCTCAAAAAGTATATTCCTGCTTTGCTCTAATGGTTGAATTCCTCATTGTCACTAACTGGATTGATGTAGTGATCTCAGAGGAAACCTAACAAAATTAAGGCCCACAGGGCAAAAACGGGACTGGAGCTGTACTGCAAGTCTAATCTCCCATCCTGTTCTGCCATTCAGTATTTTATATAACTGCAGTAAGGGCAAAACAAGAAGCGAAAACTTGGTTTGTTCATTAATGTTCTCTATTACATATACTGAGTAACACTGGTACAGTGTAAACATGACTTTTGTGAGATGACTTATTTGTATGCCATTAACTCTTATGGGAACCTTCTAAATGAACTGATGTGCTTTTTCTTGTACTGCTGTACAGCTAGAATATGTGCATGTAGGAAGATAGAAGAACTCTTCAAATGTCATTGGGAATCTACCTTCTTCTGACCTCCATTGAGATTTTTGTCTTTTTTTATCATTAATTATTTTATCCAGAAGTTGTTAATTTTGGTCACGACACATGAAAACAGGGACTATATACTACTCTATAAACAGTTACTGTCCAGTAGTTTAAAATAGAGTTCTGATAGAAGTATCTAAATGTTACTGCACTTGAAAAATTATTACCTAATAAGGATAAACAGTATACTTCAAAAGAGGTGCTTATTCACAGAACACTTGTTTCCATAATCTTATGTAATGTTATATTGTTTGGCATTGACAGTGTATCAAAGGAAATGACTGTGAGTGTGGGACAAAGGATTTTGTATGGATGCAATAAAATATGCTTTGAGATAAGAATTTCTGAGACAATAATGTTACTGAACTAGCTGGAAAAACACACACACACACAAGGAATTCTGAGAAGAAAAAGCACCTGTGGCACTTATTGTAAAGACCTGCAACATTGGCAGAAGATAGGGAGTAATGGAGCAAAGGAAAGTCATCTATTGAATGCTTTGGTAGGAAGCGAGTCTTTCAGGGAAAGATCATTTCAGATTTGCCTAGATCCTGAAAACTTTGTACAAGAATATATTTTGTGAACTCTCTTAAGTACCTTACAAAGTCAGCAGTTTGCTTACTTAATTTCTTTGGTCTGATGGCAGTTTTAGGAAACCAGTGGCCTACAAGAAATATTCAAGTGGTGAGTTACACTTGAAATACAGGTTAATGTCATATCCCAATATTCAAACTTTGTGGAAAACCCCATTATGTATAGAAGGAAGAACACAAGTATAAGAACCCTGCAACATTTAACAATAATCTCTTCAGTGTGTGCTGTGGTCTAAGACACCAAGCAACTGACTGTTCTGTACTGTTCTTGTATGTTTTTTTTGAAGCAAATATGCCATTACTGTTCCAGCTTTATTTCTAGTGTCTCTTGAAGGGTACCCAGGTCTAACTTTGTGTTTACTTACACTGTCAATGGGAAAAATTTATGTATGAAAGAAAGAAGAGTGTTTGATACTATTATTGTATACTGTAATGAGATTTTTTAATTAACCCCAATCAAAAGCCTCTGTCTTTCCTGGTTTTAGCATCTCTCTTATGGCAATGGTAGCTTACACGTTGATGCAGCCTTCCAGCAGACACTCTGGAGTGTAGCACCGATCAGTTCAGGAAGTGAAGTTGCCCAAGGTAAGATTGACTCAACTTTAATTATTGAAAGACTCATGGTAAATGAAATACTTTAAAAATCAAATTATTATGCCAAGTGAGGGAGTGGGTTTCTCTTATGTAAACATTCAAAATAATAAATAAATATACTAATGTTCTGAAAATAGAGGGAAGGTTATACTGAAAGTTACAGTGATAATTTTCTACATATTTTTACTGAATACTGAACAGCTAATTCAAATCTCATTTTGATAAAGGTATGATAATATTCTTCACATTTTTTTTAAATGGCTTTTGGTCCTGGTTTAAAATATTATTTAACATTATTCTGATGTATGCAGTCATAGTTACATGTTCCTGAGACTGTGTAAAAAATGGGTGAGAGGCTTGGAAGCAGGATGTGAAATCCTAAGAGTAAAGATGGGGAATGGTTTTGTGGGTAGCTATGGTTGGGAAGAAAAACAAAATGAGGGGAAAGACAGAAAGAGAACAGCTTTCAAGAATTATTTATTTTATTAAGGAATTAGGAAGGAGTTTTTTTAATGAATTTTTTGACATTGAAATGACAAGGAATTTGTGCCGTGCTGACTCCACAGAGAAGGAGAAAACAACTGTCTTTTTCTGAGAAGTCTGTCACAGTGTAAAGCCTAATGATTTCTAGTTTTCTACAGACTGATTGTTTTGAGTGGGTGTTGTAATAGAACCTTAAGAAGGCTAAAGCTGCAGGTCCTTTCTTTGCTTATATCTTGGGATTTTATGATACTATTTTATAAAAGGCAATACACTGAAATTTCACATCAGTTATTTTTATCTGGCATATTTTAAAATTCAGTTGTGGAATGTTCTTGCACCTTTTGTCATTCAGATTTTAGGGACAGCACTGCCAAAATCTCCTTTCTATATACTCATTTTGGTTTTGCATATGAGAATCACTTTGCACATTCATATTCTCTGACATGGTTTCTAGTACAAACCATTACTAAAGAATGCTAGCACATTTCTTGACAGTGTCCAAAACTTTATGGAGAAAACCTTTCCGTTGAGGAGAAGAGAAAACCTTTTCCTGTTGCTCCTTCCTATAAACTCCATTCTCCTCATCCTCCCACTTCTGCCAGCACTGATGTGTCATTCTTGTTAATAACCCCAGTATGGTTTATGAGCTGAGACCCAGATCTGTGCTGTGCCACATCTTTGCCTGGTGAACCTCACTAGCGAGACCTGCCTGTCTCTTAGAGAAAAAAAAATCCTCAATGATATGGTGTCATGTTGTGTACTTATATCCCCAGGAAATAATGTGAAAATGATGTAATATGATTTTTGTAACTGTGCATTTCTCTGTCTATTTGCTTTTTCTTTGTTGCTATGCCTTTATGTTTTCACTTTCCTCAAGTATAGTCATTATCTTTGTTAAGCAGTATGTTTTCTAGAGAAGATCAGCTGGCTAGTGTCAGAAAGGATTAGAGCAAAGGCCTTATTCTAGCAAAGCTGGCAAACGTTCCTGTAATCAAAGTAGTCCTGTTGTGAAGGGAGAGTAAATTTGACACTTAATGTGTAAGGCCTTACTCTCTATGCCTCAGAAAAACAGTAGCCGAACTGCAGAAAATTACCTCAAAATGAAGGAAGAAGAAAAAAACCTTATTTTTGTTAATATCTGTCAAATACTTCGTCATATTCATAAATAAAATACTGATATATAGGAATAACTATGCTACAATACCCTCTCTTAATCAAAACTTCCCATTAAAAACAGATTAAAAAGTTAAATGAAATTACTTTGAAGTGAAAATAATGGATAATTAGTTTGTAAAATGAACTGGGATATTTGAAGTAGTTAAAGAATATAATTTCTTTTTGCATGCATATCTGTAAAACTGGCTTATGCAGGAGTCAATTTATTGTTGAAATCAAAACATAGCTTTAGAGTCAGATCAAGTAGTTCTGCTAATTCTGTACTGTGAATTTAATGGAGGCCTTTTTAAAAACAAAACAAAACCTAAAAAGCTACTCAGGGCAGAACATCTCCAAAATTATATTGACACAGGTCCATGTACAAATTAATGTATGAAACTACTGTCCTCCTCTGTGTCAAAATCAAGAATGCATTACTTGACATTGTTTCAAAATTTTATTCCAGTAAGTTTTTTTAAAAATCCTTTTGCTATAACAGTAAACCCAAGGAATTATGTTACCATATCCCACTCAAATGCAGAATTTTATATTAACCAGTTTTAGTGAGAAGGGAATGTGAGTTTAGGAAACATGTGTTTACATTTATCTTGTCCGACTGCAAAAATACTGTTGATTTGTGCTTAAAATCTACTAAGTCTTAGTATTAGATTATAAAACAATATTTGTACGATAACACAAAATTATCTTTCTTTTTAATGTCATATCCTGATGCAAAAAGACCAATGAAAAAGCTTCTATTTTATTAACATCTTTACTGGTTAGAATTATGGCCTTATTTTCAGCTTCTGGTTGCCATGTCCTGGAACTTCAAATATTGTGATGCTATGTGTATACTCTGTGCCTTAATTTGTGAACACACATGTACACTGTAAAGCCAAGTGTTTGGCTCTGAACTTGCATGTGCAGTGGAGGTATTGGCAGTATAGGAGTTTCCTTTTGGAGTCCAAATAAATCATGACTGTTGGTTGTGAATCTCTGTCAAGCAGAGCTTAGAGATTGTCCCAAAAGTTTTTCTCACAGAAAACTCCAAATACTCCAAAAAACGGTTTTAAAAGTAATGAACTAACTAAATCAATCTTTGTTATGTTAATATATAAACTGGAATCCTTAAATCAAAAGCAAAGTGAGTAGGTAACATGGAAGTTTCCCACTTTATGTTTTCATCTGAGGGAGGAGTAGTTGCTTCCTTGTTTCCATTGGCTCAGTCTTTTTCTGAGTTGCGGAAACTCTGTAGGGTCCCATCTCTGGCTCCTCTTTATCCTGATCCACCCTTTGCTACTTGCTGAGTTGGAGCTTTTCTCACTTGAAAATGTTCAACTGGCTCCTCAGGGTATGAGATATCTTCCTCTTCTTCTGATTCTCTTTTTCAAGTAACATAAAATGCCAACAGAAAAAATGAAATAAATAAATTGTATTTATTACAGTTCGAACTATAGTTTCATGTGGTGCTATGTTTATACAAATGCCCTTGATTTTCTCCCTTTATTCAAGGATACCTGATAGGAGGGGATGTTCTGAGGTTATTGCATGGTCACATGGATGAATGTTTGACAGTCCCTTCGGGTGAACACGGAGAAGAACAAAGAAGGTAGGTTTCCAGCTTATAAGAGAATAATAATAACAAATGTTGCTGAATCAGTATTAGGTGTCACTGATATCCAGATGTTTGGAGGATGTTGTGATGAGATATATTACTCATAAGAATGAATATTGTTGAGACAAACTTTAGACATGAACCTTTTGTATTTTCAGTATTGTTCATGTCTCGTTTCGCTCACCAGATGTATTAGCAATAGTGATTTTTGATCATCTGTTGTCATCTTTACTGATTTAAAAGCCCTGTGAATGAAATGTGTTGGTTTTTTACTGCTGGATTTTTTCTATAGTCACAAAAAATTCCTCAGGACAGGGCATGTATGATTACTTCCCAGTCCTTCAAGGCTGCTGTTCTGAGTATTGATCTTAGGTCTAGCTGTCACGGCAGTCTAGAACTTAATTTGTGGTTATTTTCTTAACTCGAGAAATCCTAGAAAGGAAGTAGAGGAATGAGGACAACTCAGTATGAGTCTCTCTCTGTTAACTAAAAAATCCAAATAGTGAGAAGACTGACACCGTAAGTGGCATGTCTCAGTGGAGTGATTGCATGGATGAATCAGTCTCCTTCTTATGTGCTCTAATACAATATGCCCAAAGCTTCTTTTTGGTAGGGCAGTGTCATATAATTTATTCCTACCTTCAGCCTAAACGTTGCTGAATTATATTTTGGATTAGTTTGTTTAATGCAGCATGTTGGATAACTTCATTTCCATGACAAGGAAAGTGCTATTCATTCATTTTAAAATTAGTTTTCTTGGTTTGCAAATAGAGATGTATTTTTTATTCTATTTTATTCTTATTTGTAATGATAAGGACAAGACTCTGGAAGGCCTCATAAAATATTTTGTGTCAAATATTTTCTGCAAAAATTTTCTGTAATTTTTTAAATATTAATAAGAAATAATTTAGAATTTTCTTATACGGCTGCTAACCAACCCTTCCTGGATATTTACCATTTTTAGACAAGGGAATAGTTTTTGAATGCAGAAGAGAGTTCAAAATGCTGATACTTAAAATGTGATCAGTTCATGTTTTATTTTTAGTTACCATGTGATATACATTACAGCTTGGAGTTTATCACTGCTATTATTATTCTCAGCCTGAAAGTGATGAAAATTTAAGGTGATAAATAGGATCCTATAGTGTTTGCTACTTATTCGGTCTAAATCCTGCAAAATTCCTTTAAAAAATTTTAGTTGCATTGTACCTACAGATTTATAGGGCGATCAAGCACTTCAGTAATGAACTTCAGTTCTTAAGAACACACTAAAAATCTGTCTCTTTTCAATAAGACTAACATTATACCTAAACCACAGTAATGGAGAGTGAAGCTGCAAATTAAAAAATTGCTCTGATCTGCTTGTGCATTCACATGATGCATCTTTCTGTCCTATAACACGGGAAGAATATGGTTCATTTCTTAAGCTGCAGGACAGGCTGTAGACAGATCAGATAATTGTATTTCTTTCTGCTGTGTCAGCAGTGTTCTGTAATTCTTTCTGCCTTCCCCATATCTGTCTAATACCCCAAAAGAAGCAGAGCTAGTAGGCAACAAATAGTATGTATGTCTTTGCCTTTATATATCCTGATAGCAATACTGAGAAACGTTGCTTCTCAGTGCTTCATAAAAACAGATTTGATATTCTAAAATTTACTTGTTGTTCAGGATCTTTCTTTAATAAACAAGCAAAATAAAAATAAATTTGTTGTTTTTCATATTTTACTTTTCTCACGTTTTTCTATTGCTTTTCTGAAATATTTTTTTAAATAATAAACTTAGAATATAATCTATGATTACTTTTAATTGTATGGAGTTAGGTATAATCGCTCTGTGCCCCACGCTTTCTCTTAAATTATTAGTAAATTTAGTTATTACTTAAAAACTCTATACTTCTTTCTCTATTTAGGACTGTTGCCTATTCAAAATAATTTGTGGCTCCTTTCACTTTTCAGTATGCGCGCATACCTTATTTTGATTGATAGGATTCAACAGCTGGTACAATTATATTAAAAATACATGTAACTTTGGCAGGTGGGAAATTGTAAGATAAATTATTTTGTCTTTCATTTCAATTTAAGTTCTGTAACTTTTGCGCATAAGACATGGTTAGGTATGATATATTTAGAGTACAGTAATTCTGTATTATCGTGTCATTTCCTTTTGAAATAATCTGGTGATAGATTATTTTGATTGGTTTGTTTTGTTCCAGCGTATGCCTGAAGAACAGCTCTGCTCTGTAGAATGACAGCATAAAAAAGCACTGAGAAGTTCACACCTGTTGTGACTCATTAGTTCCTCTGTCTCATTTTTATTTTTCTTCAGAGGCCTTCTCTTTATGCCTTTTCAAATAAATAAAAGATCGGACAGTACTAAAATAACAGTTTTATTCTATCATGTCACCTGGTATCTATTCCAGGAAATAAATAAATAGTTTAGATGTGAAGGATCCTCCTAGGCAGTTTCCAAAACTAACTGCTGTTTAACTCTATTCTTCAAACGTTGATACAGTTGCATAAATTTGAGAATAAAAGTGTTTCAAAGAATACCAGAAGTTCAAAATAAAACACACGTTCTCAAGATGTTTATACTCTATGTATATGTGAGAGTTTATACCATCAGAACAGTGGAGATTTATGAAGCAGTGACAGTGCAGATACTGTGTTTGTGATTACAGTAAGTAACAAAGCCTCCTCTGAGGCAAGGTTATCCAAATCTGCGCTGGAAGAGGCCTAATACAGTGGCAGAATTAGTCACATAAAAAGCTTATAAAATTATATTCTACGTCTCACAATTTTTTCTGAGTGTATACTGTGTTTCCTTGCTTGATTATTGAGCCTGTGTGTCCTTCCATGTGGTCCTTAGATTGTGCTACTGCGATCACTAGAGGGTAGGACGGAATCATTGTATTTGTGGCAGAGGGACTTTGGTGTCAAGTCAGAAACTTAACTTTTCCTTAGGAAGCAGTTTCAAGTAGATCCTCCCTGAAGTTGCTAGACATAGTTTGCTACTAGAAAACGTTCCAAATGGAAGCAGTGCAAATAGAGAAGTTTGTGGCAATATGTTGGTTACTTGATATTACACTAGAGGAAAAAAGTGGTATTATTTTTAAAATGCCACAGGCAGGGTGGACATGACCCTGATAGTTTCAGTCACTGACCCACATAAAGAGCAATAACGAAACTGACAAAAGGTTAAGTATGTGTAATTTCACTGAATTAAATATAATTTTCTGCATATTCTAGTTAGGTATGTTGTAGGTTTAAGGCAGCTGGTTTAAGACTTGTGCATAGAATCCTTAAACTGTGTCCTTATTCTTTAAAATGCCTTAGTTATCTCTAGCAAGCTAGACCTAAATTTACAGTGTTGTTTTTGGAGCTCTTCAATTCAAATTTCAGAAGTATTTCCATGTAGATTAAAAAAATAAATATGGGTATAGGTAGTTAAGTGAAGGCATACTGTAATTAACTTGGTGTTCCTGTGGTGGCTACTTTGGTTTCTATCTATCTTTAAAGACAGGGCAAACTTCTGCAGCAGCACAGTAGCTGGGAGTTCATATTTATCTTCACTCTTTTTCCTCCACTCTCTGTCCATGTGGTTGGTGGTCTGGCTTCTGTCATATGAGCCCATATAAGCAGTCTGTCAGTAGGAATGAGGCAGACCCACAAGGGTTTCCTCTATTTATAAAAAGTTTTTTTCCTTTAAATAAAGGACTGTGTAGTCTCCTTTTCCACTCTTTCCCTCCAGTTTCATACAGGAGAAATTTTTTAATAATTTTTAATACTTCTTTTTTGGGTGGAGGATTCTTTGTGTTTATCCAGCAGAAGATTTAAATCACTTTTTGTATTACAGGTACTTTGGAATAGTCTTTGCTTTCCTTTGAAATCTTTTCTTGTTGAAATTGTGACACTTTTTTTTTTAACCCTGTTATTTGGCAATTATAGTATTGAGTCTTCACATTTGAATTTATAATATCAAAGGAATGAATAAATTTATTCTAATTGTGATGGAAGTTGATAGTTAGAGCAGGTGTACATTGAAGTTGTTCTGTGAAATTGTTTTCCATTGTTTCATTTTTTTAATTAAAAAAAATTAATTAAAAGTGTTCATAATAAATTCATCACAATTCAATCAGTCAACAGCTCCCCCTTTTTTTTATATGTCAATTAAGTGGAATTATTTTACAATATTGCCACTGCTGTATTATGTGTGTCATTTTTATTTTCCTGTAGAAATGTCAGCTGGTTATTAATTCAGGCATGACTGTAGAGTTTTTTATTGCCTTCTGGTTTTGGAGGATTTTTTTTTGTTTCTGTGTGTTGTTGTTTTTTCTTTGTTATTCCGTTTTTTTTCTTAGAACTCCCCCTGAAAAAGGTAATAGCAGATAGTAGTAGAAGTATGTAAAAAAAATATGAGTTTTTTTTCTAATTGGTTTGTGATGCTTACTTTTTATTATACCACCATCTTTCATATTCTTTTAGAACTGAAATACTACACAGGAGTTGGGCTTTGATATTCAGTTCCCAGTCTAGAAGGGAACCATGAATTTTCCCATTGCAACTACTTTGCATTTTGATTTGCAATATGTATTTCAAAGTGATGACTGCAGTGCAATTTGGAACCTTCAGAAATATATTGTTGCAGAAAGCAATTACCTGTGAGAGAGAGCAAAGTGCTCCTGGCTTTTCAAAGTATCATTTGGGTTGGAATAGGCCTTCATGAGGGAATGTATAAGTGAAGCCTAATTTCAGAAACTGTTTTGTCATTCTTACCTTTGAGACTTTCTTTGGGTGAAACGTATTACGTTAAGGCTTTTGGAAATGGCATTGAACATTTCGTGTTAGTCTCAGAGATGGACAGGGTTTTAAAATGATGAAGGTCAAAATCATTATGACTTAGCCAATCTCCGCTTCTGTTCACTTTATGCTATTCTCTTCCAACAGTCTTTGTTATGGCATTATGAACTAATGAGGTCTGTCATACCCCAGAAAGGC